GCTTTTCCCCCTTCCCTGCTGAGCCACATTGTAGCCTTACAAAGTGGCTCAGAAGGGGGGGGGAAGTAAAAGGAACAGGGGTTCAGAGCCACAGGGGGGACCACTAAAAATGCATAGGTGTCTGCATAGGTGGGGGTGGAGCAGAGATGGGGGAGTGCCAGCAGTGAGCAGAGCAAGAATAGGGCACATGAATACTTTTCCTGGCCCATTTCCTGCTACCACCACATCAGAGGCATGTTTTTGCTCTCCTGTGTATGTATAGCCCTAGCTAACTATATTTTGCCCTGCACTTCCTGTATCTCATGGCTCCTTGGCTCCCTTGTATTTCTCTTTCATTCATCCTACATAAAATCACAGGACAGTAAAGACCCACTCACAGCATCTGAAGAAGCGGGCTCTTATCTACAAAAGCTGATGCTGTAACTAAGTGGAGTCTGCACAGCACGAATGGTTCAGCAGATTAACAAGAGGATATCAAACACCAAGGGATAAAGAGAAATCTCTGTACGTCTTACCTTTTACAGTTTTCACTTCCTAGTTCCTCTGAAATGAAATAAAAATATACTTAAGGAAGGAGTTGTAAATAATTCCATTTTTAAATGTGGAAAAACAAAGAATTTCTAGACTGAGATGCAGGCGTCACCTGCTAATATACCGTATATTCAAGCAGCGTAATAATAAAATGAGGAAAATGTGCCCAAGGCATTTTGGACTCTGAAAAGCAGGACCCCAACTGACCCTTCCCTCCCTTTGCTTGAAATTTCCATGCTTGAAATCTTTATTATGCCCCTATTATTAGTCTAGGAGCTGCAGTGGCTCAAGTGGTTAAGATGCTGAACTGCAGGCTGTGGAAGGTTGGTAGTTCAGCAGTTTGAGACCCGAGTGCCGCATGACGGAGTGAGCTCCCGTCTCTAGTTCCTGCTCCTGCCAACCTAGCAGTTCGAAAGCAAGAAATTGCAAGTAGATAAATAGGTACCACTTCAGTGGGAAGGTAACAGTGTTCCATGCACCTTGGTGTTTAGTCATGCTGGCCACATGACCACGGAAATGTCTTCAGACAAGCGCTGGCTCTTCGGCTTGAAAACGGAGATGAGCACCGCAACCTTAGAGTCAGGTTCGACTGGCTTTCGAGCAAGGGAACCTTTACCTTTACTTTTTGCTATTAGTCTAAGGGGATACAAAACAAGTAAGTGTAACTGAAATCAATGGGACATTTTCAGTCAGATATATTTAGGAGGGTTAGTTACTGGTAAAACATTGACATAATTCGGTCTGTATTTTTCCCAGCAGTGATTTCAAATACTCTAGAAGTCCTCAGATGCAAATAGGTTAAAATCAGTGAAATTTAGATGCAATGCTGTGGATGAAGAAGTCCCTTAGAACTCAATACAGTCCTGTTTTTTAATACACACCTGCCCATTGATATGAGCATATTGCAAAAACAGGTGGTCTGTGCATGCCTCTGTATTGCCAAAGATGGATGGGGTGGGATAGAAGACATGAGCATGGACCCTCTCCCCAACTCTGGTCTTGGGATTCTGACAGTGCCATCCTAAGCAGAGTTGCACCATTCTAAATCCATTTAATTAGTGGGTTTAGAAGAGTGTGACTCCACTTAGAATTGCACTGTGAGCCTGTGTATTCACAGATGTATGCTTGGGGTGGTATTTGGGGAACAGAAGGGAGAACTTCAAATGTGACTGACTCAGTCTTTAATGAGTATAGTGATAGACCAGAAGGACAATGCAATGCAATAAAATCAAAATCACACACATCCAAAAAGTGGAACAGAAAGGGATTAAACTGTTCCTAGTAGTAAGTGGTCACATTGGCTATGTAGGTCCACCCACAACTAGTCAAAGCAGAACCTACCCAAAATGAAGAAAAGGAAGAGGATAAACTGGGGGGGAGGAGACAGTTACAGCAGAGGCAGTAAAAGGGATAGGGTGGGGAGAAAATAACTGGATTTGGAGTGAATGGAAAACAAGAAAAGGGTGCAGAATGACTAGGCTTTGTTGATACTCAGGAGAAACAGACTGGGCAATCAAACTAGGCTGGGGGAGCAGGAAGAAGAAGAAGAAGAGGAGGAGCAGCTTACAGTCTCCTTCCCTTCCTCTCCCCACAACAGACACCCTTTGAGGTCGGTGGGGCTAAGTGAGCTCTGAGAGAACTATGACTGACCCAAGGTCATCCAGCTGGCTGCATGTAGAGGAATGGGGAAACAAACAGGGTTCTCCAGATTAGAGTCCCCCACTCTTAACCACCACTACACAAAATTGGCTGTCTAACTACAGAGCAAAAGGAAGAATGGAGGGGAGACACATTGCTGGTGGAAAGCAAGGCATCTCCAGAGTGAAACTTTAAAAGAATGAGCCCAAAAACAACGGATGAGGATGTGCAGGAGCTGGACTGAGGCTGTCTCGGGGTGGAGGGGCAGTCTAGAAATAAAACTGAACTTTAAAATGCTGAATTAAAAGGGAGTCCTTTTGTATCCCAAATATGGCCCCTTTTCTACAGTGGTGGTAACGAGGTTTTCCTGTTACTTGGGCCACTCCAAGGGGGATACTAATGGAGTGGGAAATGAAGTTATCCTGCTGTTTAAGAGCTTAACTGATTTACCTGGCAGGTCTGTATTGTTCTGTATGTTCCCTAAGTAGAATGGAAAGACAGATTATTGTCCTTCAAGCACTGGTCATTCATTTTGGTCTGGGTGCGGGAAGACCCTGTGGAATCATACAGTAAACCCTTTGATGAAGGGGTGTGACAGTTTCTCTCAGTGACCTGCCTGTTATGAGATGACATTTTATTGTACTTAATCATCGTGATTCTGCGGCTTAATCCAAATGGAAGCCTGCCTATGTCCTTAGCTTCAGAGGCATGTAAGGGTTTTGGGGATGGGGGGATATTTCCCATATCCTGACCCACTTGGCCTTCCTACTCATACTTAGAACACAAGTAACTTGTATGGTGTGCTGGTGGAGCTGGATGCAGAAGTGGGAGGTACACATGAACATACATGTTGCCTAAGCATGCACCTGTGAGTCCATGCTGGTGGGGGCTGGGGAAAACCACACGAGACTCCTCTGTGTACAGGCACTGCACTACTTTGAACTATGCCTGTATTCTGCATTATAAGGAAGCCCATGTGATTTTCACATTCTCCTGGGTGAGTATTAAGGGCAAAATGGCATAAAATTAGACATAACGGGATAGGAAGCCAGGAAGACAGTGAAGTCAAATCCAAAGGATGTTTAACCTGAGTAGAAATTAGCAGCTGAGGTAAATTCAATACTGCAGCTCTGCTGCATTAATATTCACAGCATAGTCTAACAGTGCACAGGAGACTGCAGGCAATGAATTCCTTGAGGCTACCGGGTTCCAACAGTGAAAACAACATAATGAGAAGTCAGCAACTGCTACAAAAATTATTTACTTCAACACAGTCTTATGCTGTGTATGTGCAGTGGACCTGTTTATAAAGCAAAACTACAGGAGATTACCGCAAAAGGGCAAGACTTTAAAAACTCCAAAGTCTGGAGAGGATTTAAAAATCACTGATATTGCACAACAACAAAAAAACTGATTTGAGACTAATTGCCAGAGGAGACATGGGTGGACAAGATACCAGATGAGATAGACAGGCTCAACCACATCCAGTAGAGGTTAGGATGTGGTATTACAGACGCCCTCAAAAGAATAGAAGGGAAATTGCTTTGTATCTAACAGTAAATAAAACAAGAAAAAAAGGAACAGGGGAATGGGTCATAAATGGAAATACAGTGCATCATTTTCCTAGCTGATAACGATTAGGGTGCTGCCCTTTAATGCTGTGGCCCTCACCTCAATATCAGTACCAACTTAATAACCAACAGCCTGGCTATGGTGGCAGTTGACCATTTGGATGCCGAGAGAATGCCACCATCATTATTAGTATCTATGTTTACTAGCACCTATGATTTTATATGTTGTGGTTTTACTCAATCTTGTGTTTTAATATAGCTCGCTGTTTAGATAGATAGATAGATAGATAGATAGATAGATAGATAGATAGATAGATAGATAGATAGATAGATAGATAGATGATAGATGATAGATAGATGATAGATAGATATATATATATAGAGAGAGAGAGAGAGAGAGACAGACAGACAGACAGACTCTGTAAGCCGCCCTGAGCCTGCCCTGGCAGGGTGGGTGGGATACAAATAAAATAAATAAAGAAATACCTTCTCTATAAGGTTTAAATGCTTTTCAAAGTCCCAACAAGAATACATGGGACTTAAAATAGTCTCCAGGCTGCACCACAGTGCATGATTCAAACAGATTACTGAAATTTAGCCTTGTCTAGCAGATTCTGCTGGGTCAAATACAGCATATGTACCTATGTTTTACAGCACTATTACTAGAGAGTATCTTATAAAGGGTATATAGATACCACTAGCAGGAAAAAATCAAAAACAGAGAGCAAATGCTCAAAATTTTCCTTAGGGTACTGTTATCTATATTGACATCTATCCAACCGTGCAGTTCCTTGGACAGAATGGCATTTCTATTAGGAGTAGAGAGGTCCATAATTTCTGCTGATTCACACTTTCCCCTTTGCACCCTACGCTGGTCTTGAGGATCTGCTGACCCCTAGGAACAAAATTTCAGGGCTGCAGCAGGAGAAAGGAAGTCCCACTCAAAATCAGTAGGATGTTGGATACATGCCAATATTTTTATCCTGTCTTTCCTTCAAGGAGCTTGGGATAATGCACACAGCTTCCCTTTGCTTCATTTTACAGTCACAACAACTTTGAGAGGTGGATTAGGCCAAGGCAGGGTTGCCAGCCTCCAGGCGGGACCTGGAGATCTCTCACTTTTACAACTGATCTCCAGTTGACAGAGATTAGTTCCCCTAGAGAAAATGGCTGCTTTGAAGGGTGGACTCTACGGCATTGTACCATGCTGAGGCCCCTCCCCTCCCCAAACCCTGCCCTCTCCCAGGTCCACCCCCAAAGTCTCCAGGTATTTTCCAACCCAGACCTGGCAACCCTAGGCCAAGGGCACATGGGACAGTGTCCCACCAACTCAGGCTGCCCCCAAGTTCCCTCCTACCTTCCTACTGCTGCCAACCCTGGTTTGGGAAATTCCTGGAGATTTGGGAGTGGAGCCTGGGGAGGGTGGGGTTTGGGGAGGCTCAGAGGCTCGGCCGGTATGTGATTTCATAGAGTCGACCCTCCGAAGCTGCCATGTCCTCCAGCGGGACTAGGATTGCCAAATTCAGGTTGGAAAAATGCTGGAGATTTGGGGACGAAGCCTGGAGGGGATGGGGTTTGGGGAGGGGAGGGACCTCAACGGAGTGCAAGGCCATAGAGTCCATTCTCCAAATCAGCTGTTTTCTCCAGGGGAACTCCAGGGGAACTAATCTCTGTCAGAAGGAGACTGGCTGTAATTCTGGGAGATTGGTTGCCGTTCTGGCCACCCCTGGAGGCTGGCAACCCTAGTGGGACTGATCACTGTAATCTGGGGATCAGTCATAATTCCAGGAGAACTCCAAGTCCTACCTGGAAGATGGCAGCCCTATTGCTTCCTCCTCTTGTCCTCGTTGGACAGTCAACAGGGTGGCAGGTTGCCATCTAAGACCATCTTGTCTTTCGTTGACTCAGCAATATGTAAACTGTGTGAGCACAATTGCAAAAGGAAAGGTTGCATTAGACTGGCACCCACACAGGGACTGGTGTCCCCCTCCTGCACAACTGGAGACATGTTTCTACAGTAGCATCTTCTGCAGTGTTTATTTATTTTAAATGTTTATTAGCCACCTTTCTTCCTTACGAAGCTCCAGGCGACTTACAATATTAATAAAATACATTAAAACATTTTTTTAAACCCAAAATTTAAAAATCATAATTTAGGGTGGCTTTAGTTAAATGCCCTGCCTGCCCTAATGGGTACCAACTGCCACTGAGAGCAAGATCATCCAGTCTGTTTCATAACTGAGTGGGGATTTGAACCTGAGTCTCCCCAGTCCTAGCTGAACTCTCTAATAAATACACCACACTTGTTCTCAAGATACCATCCTGAAACTACACTCACAGGCAGTTGCATAATATAAACCAATGGAGGATAGCCTCATCGGCTAACTGGATATCGTTAGTGTTTGACCCTTGCATCCAATCACAGGCTGTCTCATTTATATTGGCCCTTTTACGCTTCACTGCATACTTTCTAAAGGCTCTAGTCAGCATTTGCTTTCCTTTGCATCTTATGACAGAACCATTTGAATGGGAAACTTGCAGTTTCTTTGATTGCATTCTTCGTCAATTGGCTTTGAGGCACACAGTCACATGGTTCTCCTGTAACTTTTTTTTAATGTTCGCAAATAGCAATGGCAGTCACCCCAGTTACCTTAGAGGACCATTGTGCAAATGTTAAGAATAAAATTCATTCTTCTGAGAATCAGATTTTTGCTTCTTTCTTTATTGAAGAAGCCCTGCATAAATCCAATGTTTACTTAATAAGGACAAATCATGAAAAATGGTCAAAGTAAATTATCTATGGCCTAAAACCCCTTAGTGAAAAGCCAGAGAATCCTGGTACAGCTGTCCTGCGGTATGAAAGATAAGCGGAGAACAGTAAGACATGCAGCCAGCCAGGTTCAATGAGATCTCTTGTATATACTGGAGTTGTGTTTAGCCAGATAATTATTGTTGGAGGGTTGTAGGTGGGGAGAAGTCAGCAATGTGTTTGGCTCTAACTACACTGCTCTGCACATAACCTGCCAGGCGATGAGGACTTGGGAAAGATTACAGAGTTCAGCTGAAGGCTGGGAGCATCTGCTTGTCTTGCTCATTGATGCCAGACTTTGTTACTTGTCTTCTTCCTTACTACAGTCAATAGCAAACTTTCATTCATATGCAGGTTATTTGGGGGGGGGGGAAGCCTGAGGTACTGCTTTTTCTACTTCTGGGGACCAACAGGATCAGAGTGGCTGGTGTCCATGGAATATTCATGACACGATCATTCAGAGGTGGTCCTAGAGCCAGCCTGGTATACTGTTTAGAGAGTCAGACTAGGATCTGAGAAGCCCAGGTTCAAATCCTGCTCTGCCATAGAAGCTTGTTGGCTGACCTTGGGTCAGTCACTCTCTCTCATCCTAACTTACCTCACAGGGCTGTTTCCATGAGGATAAAATGGAGGAGAGGAGAATGCTGTTATAAACCACATCAGAGAGAAAAGCATAGTATACATATCTAAGTAACCAAATTTTAAATGTGGGGTGAAAGAGAACTATTCTAAAAGATCTGTGACAGAGGGTGCTGTTTTGAAAAACTATATATATACCTGTGAGCTGAGAGAACACGAGGCAAATAATGGTGACAGTAATAATAACAACAATAACAGATATGGTTAAATACAGTGGAGAAAGGTGAGAATTCTCTGTGTGGCAAAGCACAGATCCAGTTTAAACATTACATTGGAAGGAATCTGAGCCTGCTTTCCCCCACCTATGGTCCTTCTCATATATCCCCAAAACATTTTACCTTGTTTGAGTTGTTTCTGTTTGCGGCATCTTACAACGAAAAAGATCAGTAGAACCAGCAGGACTAGCACAAGCGCTGCAGGGACTCCAAATATCAAAACAGGATGCAGACCTTCATTTTCATGATTGTTCATGTCCTCTATTTTTGTGGTGGCAGCAGTTCCAGTTTCTGTTAGTGAGGTGGCAGTCTGCAGGTCCGGGTTACCACTTGTCAACAACACAATAGTTGTAGAGTGTCCCAGTGTTACTTGAACAGTCGGTAGCATACCTGAAGATTCTGGTTCAGCCAGTACAGTGTCAAAGCCTGCCAAACAGATGCAAACAATTTACAGCTTTTATTTGGATTCATAAAACTGAAAATTATTTTTAATAACATGCTGTAGGCTCAGTTGGGGCACTCAGTGCCTCGTACAGGTAAGAGTGTGCAGCAGACCAAGGGTGGGGTCGGGGCTCCGTGCTGCCCTCCCTCTGCAAAGAGCTTCACCAACACTTGAGGAACGATTAACTCAGTTCATTCTGTCTTCAGGTACAAGTCTTGCCTTCTGCCTTCTTAGCCACAAGGCTGGGGGCGGGGGAGCTCATCTCCGCTCCCTGGTCTTTAGTCTTATGAGCTTACTGCCTCCTCTGTCCATCCCATACTTCACCGGACCACGGCCTTTAGAGCTCTGCCTAATATCTGGACCTGTCAGATGTCCAGTCTGTCCAGTCCTCCCCTCCTTTCCACCCAGGCCCTTCTCAGTCCTAAAGGAATGCCCTCCTCACCAATAATGGCTGCTACTGCCAGCCAGCCCCCTTGCGACCATGTGGGTCCCTGGCCATACCCTGTCCACCAGCTTGCTCAGTTGATCTAT